GAAATGTACCCCAGGTGGGTAGGAGAAATCCGGAATCCCACATCGGGAAACCGATCAGCCTCACGGATTCTGGGGGAGGCAAAAGCTCGACAAGAACAAATAAGAGAAAACCGAAACTGAAAGAACCCAACAAAATACACATAGCGACATATAACATCAGATCCATGGCTCAAGATGAAAAACTGTACGAACTCGAAGAGGAATTAACTAAAATCAAATGGGACATTGTAGGGTTGTCAGAGGTCAAAAGAAGAGGAGAAATGTGTCTAGAACTAGAATCAGGAAATCGCCTATATTACAAAGGAAAGGAGGAAGAAACATACGGAGGAATAGGATTCCTGATCAAGAAGAAAATTAAACAAAACGTAATCGAGTATAAGAGCATATCAGATAGAGTAGGATACATAATACTAGAAATTAACAGGAAGACAAGAATGAAACTAATACAAGTATATGCCCCAACAACAACACACGAGGAGGAAGAAATTGACAAATTTTATGAGGATATCACCACAGCAATGGAAGACAAAAACATAAAAACAACGATCATTATGGGAGATTTTAACGCAAAAATCGGAAAGAAAATGGAAGAGTCAGAAAACAAAATAGGAAACTATGGACTTGGAACAAGGAATAGTAGGGGTGAGAAACTACTAGAATACTTAGAACAACAAAACCTTCATGCAATAAACACATACTTTAATAAGAAGCCAAACAGAAAATGGACATGGGTCTCCCCAAATGGGGTGACAAAAAATGAAATAGATTACTTCCTCTGCCAAAATACAAAAATCTTCGAAGACGTAACTGCACTTAATAAATTCTCAACTGGCAGCGACCACCGCATACTACGAGCCAAAATAGAAATAAACAAACTACAGATGCAGAAAGCCGGAAGAAAACCAACGGCTATTGACCATAGCAGAATAAAACAAAACGCAGAAGAATATAGACAAGCTTTAAGGGAAAACTATAAACACCAATTAGGAAAGGAAGAGTCGGAAATTAATAAAATTAATAAAGAAATGAAAGAAAAACTCTTAGAAGCGGGAATGAAAACCGCCAAAAAACTAAGAACCAAAGAAAATAGATTAAGTAGCAGGACACTTCAATTAATGGAAAACAGACGAAAACTAATAAGCGAAAACAAAAGAAACACAGTAGAATACGTAGAACTAAACAAACTAATTAGGAGAAAAGCAAGAGAAGATCTGAGAACATACACTGAAAATGAAATTGAGAAAGTAATTGAGAGAAACAAGGGCCTAAAATGTTTACGACCAAATTTAGGGAAGCCTCTACTCATTTCAATAAAGGATGAAACAGGAAGGGAAGAAAGGAGAAAAGATAAGATATCGGAAGAAGTAGAAAGATTTTATAAAGAGCTATACACCTCAAAGAAAGACGCAAACGTAAACACACAAGAATATATTAAAAAAACAATCACTAATGTAAACTCAGAAACACTGCCAAAAATAGAAAATTATGAAATAGAGGTAGCATTATTACAATTAAAGAACAATAAAGCACCGGGACCGGATGGAATCCTTGCTGAAATGCTGAAAGAAGGGAAAGAAGAAATCTTGCAAACACTGCGAAATCTATTTAACCAGTGTCTACATAGAGGAGAAATACCCGACGAATGGAACGAAAGTCTTACAATCCTGCTATTTAAAAAAGGAGACAAAAAGGACATAAAAAATTACAGACCCATCTCACTGCTGTCACAAACGTACAAATTATTCATGAGGATTATCAACAACAGGCTAGCACACAAACTTGACTCATATCAACCAGTAGAGCAGGCAGGATTCAGAAAAGGATATAGCACCACTGACCATCTTTTAACAATTAGGACACTGATAGAGAAAGCTAACGAATATCATTTAGATCTGCATTTAGCATTCGTTGACTATGAGAAAGCTTTTGATAGTGTGGAAATGTGGGCAATAGAAAGAGCTATAAACAACTGTAGAATAGATTCCAGATACAGAATGCTAATACACAATATATATAAGAAAGCAACAATGACAGTACAATTGGAAGAAAACACAAAACCTATACCAATTAACAGAGGAGTGCGACAGGGCGATGTTATTTCTCCTAAATTATTTACATTAGCACTGGAAGATGTTTTCAAAACAATGGAATGGACAAACATGGGAATAAACATAAATGGAAAGAAACTAAACCATCTAAGATATGCAGACGATGTAGTAATAATAACATCAAGTTTTGAAGAACTACAAACTATGCTAACCGAACTAGCCAAGGAATCTGAACAAATAGGCCTAAAAATGAATCTTACCAAAACGAAAACAATGACAAACACACAAGATAATAGAAACGTAATACTAAATGGAATCACAATAGAAGCGGTTAATGATTATATATATTTGGGACAGATAATAAAAATAAATAAGGAAAACCAAACAGCGGAGGTAAAAAGAAGAGTCAGATTAGCCTGGGCAGGATTTGGGAAATTAAAATGGGTCCTAAAGAATAAGAAAATACAACAGTACTTAAAAACAAGAGTGTTTGACCAGTGCATACTCCCAATTCTCACATACGCATGCCAAACATGGACTCTGACCAAAGCAAACATGGATAAGATAGTGAAGACACAAAGAGCCATGGAGAGAGCAATGTTGGGAGTAAAATTAAAAGACAAGAAGCAAAACATCTGGATAAGAAACAAAACAAAAGTCAAAGACGCAGGTCAACATATAGCCAGGCTAAAATGGAGTTTCGCAGGTCATAACGCCAGACAAACAGACAATAGGTGGAACAACACGATACAACATTGGAGACCATGGACAGGAAAGAGAGCAAGAGGACGACCCCAGATGAGATGGGGAGATGACATTAGAAAGATAGGAGGAATACACTGGAAACAGAAAGCACAAAACAGAAGCGAATGGAGGAAACTGGGGGAAGCCTATGTTCAAAATTGGACGAATTAAAGGGCAAAAGAAGAAGAAGAAGAAGAATATCTTTTATTTGAATATGAATTTATCTTTTGAGAGTGGGAGGTCGATTACAAAAGTTCTAGTTGTCTTTTGATGTTAAACATCCATTGCTATTACCCAAAACTCATCGTCTGACCGATTTAATCATCGAATGGACCATTCAAACGCATCTGCATCCTGGTTTAAAGGCTATGTATTCTTCTTTTTAGAGTGCCGTCTCCCTACGGAGGTTGGCAATCATAATGGCTATTTTTTATTTTAGAACTTGCTCCTCTAAACAAATCAATAGATCTGCATTGATACCAATCACGTAGATTCTTTAACCATGAGTTCTGCCTTCGGCCAACAGATTTTCTTCCTTGAATCTTTTCCTGTATTATCAGTCTCAAAATTTCATATTTTGATCCCCCTATCACGTGGCCTAGGTATTCCAGTTTTGTGGTTTGTATAGTGGTGATTAGTTCTGTTTCTTTACCAACCCTCTCCAGTATTTCCTTATTTGTACGAAATCAATAAACTAGCTCAATCTGCTGCTAAGACTCTTTCTATTACCTTGGATTTTAATCCACCCGAGGTTCTTTATTTTATTTGGTTAGCCGAGGCTGGGGTCAAATCATTCCAGAACGATCATGGTTTGGGTACACCAGTTTTGACTTATGAAGAGTTCTATACTCTTATGACTCAAATCGAGGCAGTTCCTAATTTTCGTCCTTTGTGTGCAGCAAGCTCTAACCCTAATGACTTGCAGGCTGACTCATGGTCACTTTTTAATTTTTGAACCCTTAGTGGATTCAATTCCCTAACCAGATATAAGCGCTTTAAAGAATAACCGTCTGAATCATTGGCAATTAATCCAAATGATAACGGGAAACTCTCTTGAAAAAGATGGTCTAAAGAGTATATTCATTCCCTTCAAGAGCGATCCAAATGGCAAAATCCAACCCCATGTCTCACTAAAGGTTCTCTAGTCCTCTTAAAACAATAACAACAGCCTCCTTTTTGCTGGCAATTGGCCAGAATCACTGAGTTGCACTGCGGCACCAACGGTATTGTACGCGTTGTTAGTCTGAGGATAGCTTCAAATGGCATCCTACAACGTCCGGTGGTCAAGATCTGCTTACTACCTATTTGTTATTAACTATCTTTTTTCTTCATTTTTATTAATATTATATTAATAGTTTAGTGTTAGTTTTTTATCCATATCATTGTATGTGTTTGTTTTTAAAAACATTCGTTTTTAGGGGCAGAGAATGTTTGGAAAAGTGTTCGAAACTTATTTAAATATTTTATTTTTATTATTCAGAATATGACCTTATTTAGTTTTAAATATTTTATTGAATTATAATATATTACCTAATTAAAATATGGCTTTAGTGTCACATCTTTTAAATTCTTGCACTCAAATTGGCTAGTTCATTATTGTCAAATTTTGAGAATTCACTTGTCTGAAAAACAACATGTTTTTGGGAAACTGTTTATCAACCCAAAATAATTCAGAGTCCTTAAGGAAACGTACCTAAATACCTAGAAAAGTATTAAATAAGTCTTGAATACTTTTCCAAACAATTCTTGATAATTAAAATTACGCACACCGTTGCTGCAAGTAGTTGGTTTTGTATATCTATCTTGACTGAACTTAAGTATGGATGCTACTATGTTTTAAACAAATGTTTCATAGTAGTTATACAGCAAAGGTATACAGCAATGTTACTTAGTCTGGATCCTGCTTTAAGTAATGTACACAATATGTACTAAAACGCAGATAGCATTTTTATCTTTATTTTATAAGTAATCTTAGAAAAATAAGCCTAAAAACTTGTTTTAATACATATTATTATCAAGTTATAGGTTAATAATCCTGTATAATAGAAATCAGCATAGTGCGGAACTTCTATATTAACATCTCCATCTCGCCAATGTCTGGAAATAGGTGTCTCAGGAAATAATTTTGTTATAAATGTTTTAATATTTACTATAATTGTAACAGTTTTAAAATCTTTGTTTAGTCTGATATACATATTTGTTTTTCAGATCGTAGCCGTAGTTCGCAAGCCAGCCATGAGAACTCCTAGAAATATGTTTATAGTAAACTTAGCAGTAGCGGATCTTCTCTTGTGCGCTATTACAATGCCCCTTACTCTTATGGAAATTTTGACGAAATACTTCCCTCTCGGAAACAATCTGTTTATATGCAAGCTAATTGGCATACTCCAAGCAACAAGTACTTACGTTTCTACCATCTCCATTACTGCGATAGCGCTGGATAGGTATCAGGTAATTTAAATTTAAATTTAAATAATAAAAGCGAGTTATCTATTGTTATCTAAAAGATAATTACAGCATCCAATGACTATTATTTTTTTTTATTAAAACACTCCTTAAGAGGTGTCTTCTACATTGCAATCAGAAAGATCAATGATCAGTTCTGTTGAGTCTTAAATTAATACTAATAAATCTTTAACCATATTTACCTTAAATAATGTTTATACAGGGTCTTTGTTACATTAGCACTCGTGTACACTAACCCGCACTATACTCTTAAACTAATCACTAGACTAACTTGAAGGGCTTCACCCTCTGCAGTCTTCGTACTAACTCTGTATTATCCAGGAGTTAAAGAGCCTTAATATTCACATGTTAATGCAATCTTTGCACATAATTGTTGGCACAATTCCTTCTTATCTTTTTAACAGTCGCCATCTTCAAATCTTCCTGAATTTTAATGTACCAAGGGATAACGAAGCTGCTTCGTATATACGATTGTCTCCATTCTTCTGGAATTTCTTCTCCGTTTAAATATCTTTCGAATAATTTTTGGATCATTTCAAACAGTTTTGATGATCCATACCTAATCAACTCTGGATATATTCCACCTGGGCCTGGAGATTTTCTTAATTTCATTTCCTTAACTGCTTCTTTCACTTGTTCTATTGATATTTCTATTCTTCCTTCTACTTCCACTTGTTCATGTGTCTGTTTAAACCTTTCTCTTTTCTCTGTTAATAAGTTTTTAAAATGCTCTAGCCATGTATTCTCTGGTATTCTATTTATGACTTGGTTTTTTGTCGTTGTTCTCATCGTTTTTATAGTTCTCCAGGCTTCAGAGCTCTTTGTTCCTCCTATATGGTTGTCTAGGTATTGGCATTTTTATTCCCATGCACTATTTTTTTTAACCACTTCTCGTTTGACTTCTTTATTTAAGTTTTTTTATTGTTGTTTTGTTTGTTCGTCTTTCTGTTGTTATAACTTTTGATATACTTCCTTCTTTGTTTTTTTTTTCTTCCACATCTTTATCCCACCAATATGGTTTATCTACTCTCCATACCTGTGGTCCTAAAGCTTCTAGCGCTGCGTCTTTCATGCAATTTTTTTATATGTTCGTATTCATCCGTCGTTGATCTGTGTGATTCCTCTAGTCCTGAATTTTGTGATGACCTATCTAAAACATTAGATCAGAACGTAACACACTTCACTATTATATGGATTACGTGGGGAATTCAATGCAGAAATTGAATTGGTGGACAAAAAACAGTCCACGAACGAGGTGGATAATTACTATTACATAAAAACGATATACGTGGCATAGCCCTGAGGGCAACACCATAAATATTTTTAGTTTTTGATCAACTAGAACTACGGTTTCAAAATAAGACAACTTAAAATCGTTAATATTATCGAAACATATATTAAAATACGAAATAATAGGCCTAATTAGTCAAAGGGCTTAATAATACAATCTAGACAGATTCGGAACAATTTATATGAAAATCGTATGCCGTCAGCGATCCTCCTAAATAATGAATATTCAATCTCAGGAAATCGTAGGCAATTAAACCGAATTTCACTCAACATCTAAAGAAGTGAAGTACAACTTAATACCTACATTTACAAGAGCAACTTCGTCTTCACGGTCCGCAATGAAATGAATTCCACTCAAATTTTATTTTCATTTCCTTTAGTTAAATTTGATTACAAGATATAAAAAAAAACATAAGTAAAATATGTTCACTGCTAATAGATTGGTTAAGATAACCAAAAGTTACAAAAATTCACACAGAGATACATTTAAAAATTAAAATTTTTTATTTTAAATGTTTATTTTTACCCTTATTTTGATGTAACATTGCACCCTAATTTTCAATCAGAAATTCGCACATTAAACAAACATTTTTCTGAAGCTATTTTCTTGTGGCATTGTAAATTAATTACTATTTAACTGGGAATAAGCCACAATTAAAGATAAAAATACGTTTATTGACGTTTCAATTTCCACTTCGGGAATCGTTCTCAAAATACAAACAGTAAATTAAACAAATTTTGTTTTTTGTTACATAGTGAAAAATTCTTCTAATAATTTAACTTTATCTGACTCATTTATATTGACAAGTCAGACATACATTATGCATTTTAAAGTAGACGACTTTAAAATGATATTGCCAATATTGTTGAGTTGCGCTCCTGGGACGACTTTACTTATAAGATAGTTCATTCGATTACATGAAATCAACTTTAACTTGAGAATATGACTAGAACACATGACATGATGACAGTAAAATTCTCCTGTTAGTGATTCCATAGTAAATTATGAGGGAAAAACCAAGAAAAAAACCTCATAATACTATCTCGACATTGTAAGTATTTGTTCGTGAATTTAGTTTACCTTCAACAAACATCAAAATTCTGATTTTATATGTTACGTTATTTAAAAAACATAAATGATGTATCCTCTATATGTTACTGACTTACTAATACTGGTATTTTCTTATTAATAACTTCCTCTTTCAATATTGGTAACCAGATCCTACTACATTCTGCCGAGGAATTTGAGACACAATTGGCCTCATTTAGCATAATTAGAGCCGCTTCTTTGATTTTTCTCTTTTTACCATCCGTTTCTTTTAGGACTTTATTTGAATTATTCCATTGAACCCTATGTTCATTATCCGATGCGTGTTTACATATTTGAGATCTATCAAATTCTCTATTTTTAATATAAGATTGATGTTCACTTATTCTAACATTTAATGGCATTGATGATTCACTTAAATAAAACTAATCGCATTCACAAGGTATTTTATAAATGCAATTCTTTGTCCTTTCTTGTTCATTGTTAGGTTTGGTTTTGGACAAAATAGATCTCAACGTGTTTGTTGTTTTGAATGTTGTTGAAATGTTGAATTTATTTCCTATCCTTTTAAGTTTTTCTGATAATCCTTTTATGTACGGTATTGTTATTTTCCTCATATTATTCCTTGTGTATGCTGTACGATCTCGTTCTAAGTTGTTCTGTTCTATTCAATATCAACAATCGAATGAATAGAACAGAACAACTTAGAACGAGATCCTACATCAACAACATTTGACAACAAAAATTGCCAAACATATAAAAAAGAAAGGAATAACACCAGCTTTCCGAACAAATAACAACCTAGGTAAATATATTAAAAATAACAAGAGCCAAAATAAAAAACACTTAAATAGTGGTATGTATAAAATTCAATGTGGCGACTGCCCAAAAACTTACATCGGTCAAACTGGTAGAAACTTTGAGAAACGAATAGCAGAACATAAAAGGGCTTTCAAGAATAGAAAAACAGATTCGACATACGCACTTCACCTTCTAGATCATAATCATTCTTTTAATGACAAATTTAAAATTCTTCACGTTCAAAATAAAGGCCTTAAGCTATCTTTGTTAGAATCTATGGAAATCAATAAATTAAAAAACACAGATATAATTCTGAATGACCAACTTGAGACAAACAGTTCTCCCCTCCTCAACCTATTTCATTAGAGACTATAAATTGTAAACGCATGCCAAAAATAGATCACTTGAGAAAGGCTATCAGCCGAAACAGCTGTAGTGATAATAGTTAAAATAAATTTTGTGGAAGTTTGAAAACAAAGTTTTCAGTGTTTTATTGTTACGTAGTAGGATCTGGTTACCAATATTGAAAGAGGAAGTTATTAATAAGAAAATACCAGTATTAGTAAGTCAGTAACATATAGAGGATACATCATTCATGTTTTTTAAATAACGTAACATATAAAATCAGAATTTTGATGTTTGTTGAAGGTAAACTAAATTCACGAACAAATACTTACAATATCGGGAGAGTATTATGAGGTTTTTTCCTGGTTTTCCCTCATACTTTACTATGGAATCACTAACAGGAGAATTTTACTGTCATCATGTCATGTGTTTTTTTTTTAAAGACGAATTACATGCTATGATTTTTTTCTGACGGATATTCTCAAGTTAAAGTTGATTTCATGTAATCGAATGAACTACCTTATAAGTAAAGTCGTCCCAGGAGCGCAACTCAACAATATTGGCAATATCATTTTAAAGTCGTCTACTTTAAAATAAATAATGTATGTCTGAATTGTCAATATAAATGAGTCAGATAAAATTAAATTAGTAGGAGAATTTTTCACTATGTAACAAAAAACAAAATTTGTTTAATTTACTGTTTGTATTTTGAGAACGATTTCCGAAGTGGAAATTGAAACGTCAATAAACGTATTTTTAGCTTTAATTGTGGCTTATTCCCAGTTAAATAGTTATTAATCAAACAAACATATTACCTTAACATTTCTGTTAAATACCATTCTCTCTCCTGTTGCCGACAATAATGTAGCGTCAAATAATTTTGAAATAATTTTAAACTGTTGGTCCTTGTTTAGTGTAGTGTTATGTGCAATTTATGTTTTATTTTCATGTTTATTAAATTCTGCGCTTGCTGAATAGCCTAAATTTGACGAAGTAAGTCTAAAACGTTAATCACAAAAAACTTTTATCATCCATTAACTTCGAGTTTTTTATCGAAGTTAATCAATTTTCTTCATTTAAAAAAACGTTTCTTGGCTTATTTCAGATGACTCTGATGATGCTTTAGAAAGCAAAAGTACTTGGGCTAGATTTGATGAATAAAATTGTGCTCGATATCTGCCTTTAATTTTTCAAAGTTCATTTATTCGAGCATTTTGCTGTTTGTAATGTTTAGTCCAAATACCGACGTGAATACATTGTTTATCAGTAAACCTTTTCATTACAGGTTATCGTATATCCAACCAAGGAGAGTTTACAGCAGTTTGGAGCAACGCTTATTCTTCTTCTAATATGGATGGTGGCATTATTGCTTGCAATGCCTCTATTCGTTGTAAGACATCTTGTACACCACACAGTCTCCATTCCGTCAATGGAGATGGAATGTTTAAATATCAACTTTTGTATAGAAAATTGGCCAATAGATCACGGCAGGGCGTACTACTCGATATTTTCGTTAATTTTCCAGTACACACTGCCCATTATTATTGTGTCGGTAAGTAATTTTACTATTTTTTTGTATCACAACATACACTTGCAATAACACTAAGCGATTTTTAATAAACATTAACAACGAAGATCGAAGTATTTGCTTGATTGTAAGCAAAATTCGTCTCAAAATATCACACAAAAGTGTATATATATATATATATATATATATATATATATATATATATATATATATATATTTAGTTCATAGCGTTATCCGCCTTTGGGTTCCCATTCGCCAAGCCTGTCTATTCTGCCAGTCTTCTTCAGATAGATTTCTTGCTGACATAATTTTGAAATTCCTTGCATCCATGTTGTTGGTGGTCATACTCGTTTTCTTTTCTTTGGTAATACCCATTGTAATATTTTTTTTTGGTAGTCTTTCTTTCCCCATACATCTAACATGTCCGTACCATGTTAGTTATTGTTTTTCGATGTCTTCTATAATTGATCTTTGTACATTCATTTTATTTCTCTCCTGATCATATCTCACTTGTTCTAATCTAGACTTTCCCGCTACTCTTCTCCAAAAATCCATTTCAACTGCCAATAGGTCACCAGTAAGTTTTTGTGATAACTGCCATACTTATGAGCCATAGAAGATTACTAGTTTCAATATGGTATTATATATTCTTTATTCGTTTCCGGTCTTATATTTTTCTGCCATAGTACTGAATTTAATGCACCTATAATTCGTTTCCCTTTCGTCTTTTATGGCTTCATCAGTTCTACCTGTCTTTGTTAGTTTTACCCCCAAATATATACATTGATCGCATTTCTTAATTTTCCTGTCTTCTAAGTCGAGGTCATCTGTAGTATTTTCTCCTCACATGCAAAGATATTGCGTTTTTTTTAATTTACTTCGAGGACCCATTTTTGTACTCTTACATTAATTTTCTAGCCATATACTCTAGGTCTTCCTTGTCTTGGGCAATAAATAACTACCTGGTCATCTGCATAGTGCAACGTGTATATCGTTTCATCCCCAACAGACAGCCCCATCCCTTTATACTTCTTTTTCCAGAAGGTAGAGAAAGCATTGTGTATTATCAATTCTTATATCAAAGAACTCACACCCAGACTAGCAAGGGTACTTAATTCTTTTTATAATTTTAAAATTGCCAATAAAACGGCATTTTCAATTAAAAACCTTCAACAAAAGTAAAAGACAAAACTCCTAGAGCAGATGTCACATGTAGTCTACAGTATTCCATGCAAAAACTGCAATAAAAAATACATAGGCCACACAGAAAGGCATCTAAAAAATCGCATAATTTCACATAAAAGCGACTGCAGACTGCATCATGACCGTAGCTCATTAGCGCTTCATGTAGTAAATGAAGGACATCAGATGGACTTTGAGCCAGTAGAGGTTCTACAGAGAAACCAACTACAAGAAACGTCTTTTCGTAGAAATGGCTTGTATAGCACAAACAGAAAACAACATAAATAAAAAACAGACATTAACCATATCAGTGAAATTTATTCCTTTCTTCTAACAGTAGACAAACAACATAATGAAATTCAATAATTCAATAGTTTCCATTTTAGAATAAATTTAACTCTAGTTTATCACATAGTTTAACAATAGACTCTTAAAGTAAAAAAATCATACAGCACTTTATCAATTTATAATAATTAACTTTCATAGTTCTTTCTTCTTTCATTAACTTTCTATTTCATATCAAAACTTAAATATAACAGTACTTTAATAATCTTCAACCTTTACAAAATAACTAGGTCTTGGAATCAACCAAAATCTATTTATTACACTCTTGTTACCGTGATCTTTAATCATCAATCTTCAATCAATGACAACCAATAAGGCAAGGGCCACTAAAGTCTCCCCTCTACTTTAACCATCTAAGAGAGAAGAAGATTTTAGAGGTTAGTGTCTTGCAACCTACAATCAACCACGTTGTTTCACTTTACATGACACTCTGTACAGTTTAATAAGAAATAAGAATGTATAAGATGTAAAACTCTCGAGAGAGGACATTCGGACCTACACACAATTAGTTGAAATTGTGCATTGTCTTTGTACCAGTCTTAGTGAATTTTAACATTACATGTTTTTTCTGTTTTTCTTTTGTGAGAAAAAAACTTATACAATTTTTTTCACAAAATTTTATAAATTTGACCAGCTTTTACGGCACCATTCTCAAAATCGTAAGTAAGATCAACGTATTTATAACAGATTGTCAATTTTCATGTAAACTAATAATTGTAGCTTATCCCTGATGATGTTAATAACTATCAACGAAATATTTGATCAATAAAGGACTAAAGAGTACACTTAGCCTATCCTTTCAGCTGTTTTTACCCAAAGAGTCTAACTTGGTTTATTTTCTAACTTAATCAGCTGTGATTAACACCATATATATATATATATATATATATATATATATATATATATATATATATATATATATATATATATATTGAATAGTATGGGAGATAAACAACAGCCTTGCTTCAGTCCTTTTGTTACCTGAAAACCATTAGAAACCGTATTTTTTATTTTAACTTTTGATATTGTGTTGTTATATAGATCTTTTATAGCGTCGATTAGTGGAACATTGATACTGGATTTCTCCAATAATTCCCACAATTTCGCAACAGGCACGGCGTCATATGCTTTTGTTAAATCTACTAAAAGTAAATGCACTTCTCGATATCTCAGTGTTCTTTTTTCGAGTATTTGGGATAGGCAGATAATACTATTTCTTGTGGATTGTTTTGCTCTGAATCCGTTTTGTTTTTCTGATTCAAAAGGACGGTGTTCTTCGCATATGCGTTCTTTTATAATTCTCCCATATAATCTGCTAAGCGTGCTCGTAACAGTTATACCCCGATCAACTGATAGTTATTGCAATCTTCCTTATTAACTTATTTATGAATAGATGTAACCCATTGCCAGTTCGATATATTCTTTTTATATTTCTTCAACATAAGTATTAATACTCCTCTTTTGGCATGTTCTTCCTTATGAACTCCCGTATGTATGTGTGTATATCTATCAAGATTTTGGGTTCCTTGTCCTTTTTTCTTTCTTTCTGAGAGTACAGCGTAGTTCATTTTGTGTTTTTTCATTTCTTCGATAGCATCTTCGATTTTATTTCTAATTCCTTGTGTATTTGATGTACCACAAATCAGTGTCCGTTTTCGTTGCCATGGTCGTCGTCCTTTCTTTCTATCTATATGCCGAGGCTTGGTTCCGGTATTTTTAGCATTACCATTTTTCTCAAGAGTTGCTGGCCCATTGCTAAACCCCCTGGCTAGGAGGACTAGAATTTTCTGTCTGTTTTCTGGCTAGGAGGACTAGGAATTTGGAGTTCAGGTAGTATAATACTAGGGTTTGGGCCTGGTTTCACCTAAGTAGTGAATGGAGGTAAAACCAGGAGCTGGCGTGGGCAGGGACGCTATCTCCATGAAGTCTACCCTCTATCGGGACCATAAAGGGGTACCTACTCGCTACCCCTTTCAATTAAACGAAATTTTAAATTTAACCCTGTCGATCAAATCAGGTCGTTCAAATTGAATTATTGTTTCTTTATAAAATATTAGATAGTAATACTGACAAACACTTTTAGATATAAGAATAATAAATAATTCTTTAAATTATTGGTTTGGGAGCTCTTTTTAAATAAAATGCACGTAGCTACTTTGGCACTTATTTGGCACTTAACTTTATTTTAAATTGAAAAACGAATACTGGTTATATACAATATTACAACTGGAGTAAAAAAGAAGCTTGCATTTTTTGCAACGAGATGTACAAAAACTCTTTCCATCAGGAAGGTTAGGTTCGGTGCTGCAAATGTGGTGGCTGGGCACATAAAGCTTGTTCAAGCTGTGAAGAAGATGATGACATTTTTATACTTATGCGATTTTTGTTTATAGTTTGATTTTTATTTTTTAATGCTGTTCATACAAAACATAATACTGTTCAATACAAAACCGACCATGTGGCAACCCTAGTGACGACCTAAAATATACGAAAAAAATGCAGTAAATCATATTTGGGAGTAAGAGAATTTTGGTTACTTAGCATGAAACAATGGATGGATCGGCTGCTAGTAGGGAAAGGATCTTTGATATTTTTGACATAATGGGAGCCAACTTTTGCAAGCGCGCAGACATCTTTAAGACATTTTAATATATCGTTTCTTAATGCATTAAGTACAGGAATAATATAATTTTTTGTAATTAAAATTTATCATTCATTACACAAACTTCATGGAAATCAGCCACGTAAGCACGATACATTTTTTAACATGGCAACAAAAATATATTCGTCGTGCAACCCTGGAAATGGAGATGGTAGTAAAAGTATATTTAATTTGATGAACGTGACGAATTTGTTTTTTGTTGTAAACGTTTACGTGACCAAATGATTAAACACATTCAGGCGTTCTGAATGTCGCGCAATTATAAAAAAAAGGTTTACGGCAGCTGTACAAACAAGCAACAGATATATAAATATCAAATTTAATTCGCTTTGATGTTCAAGGATTGTCAAAGTTTTCTGACCTTTTTAAAGTAATATATGTATATAAAGTCATTTTACCCTATGGCGGTCGATATGCAATTAAGATATGGTCCATTGGCCTCAAACAGTGGGGCGTTAATATTTATTTACGATTGCTTGAAAAGTAAAAATATTTAATTCCCTTTATGTTATGTTCAGTAATAATATTGGACTTTACTGTATCAAAGCCAAATAAAATGAATATAATATGTATATACAGAGCGTGTTAAAAGAAATAGAACGGAATATTTCGAATAGTACTCGAAATTATTTTTGTCGATATCAAATGTTCATCAAGGCCTCTATTTTCAGTAAAATAAAAATTATACGAATGGTTTTGCATGCAGTAAAATTGGAAAATACTTGTCAAGTTGCTGGTATGTCCAAATTTGAATAAAATACATCCCAGACTAATAATGGATCTGTATAAAGAACTACTATGTATTTTTTAGTTTTTGTTATTTTGTTTTCCAAAT